GTTTTCGTTACTGCGTTGCACGCGATCTTTGAGCTGCGCACGAAAGACGTGTTCCAGGTGAGCATCGCCATATCTCGCCTCCAATGCCTCAAGGAGCTGCTCGTAAGTCACTTCCTTACCGAGAGCTTCCAGAACAGTCAAGGCCTGGTCGCGTAGGCCTAGGGTGAGAGCAGTCATGGACTGACTTTTATTCCAGCCGTTCGCTTTCATGACAGCCTCGAACTGGATTTTGTAGGCCGACCAGGAAGAACTCCCGTCGAACGGCGACACTTTGAATCCACGTAGCGAAGGTGTTGTAGCTACCACGGGAACTGTAATTCCATCCCCAAGTTTGAGGTCGTCCAGCGTTTTCTTCACATCAGCCATCACGTTGTCAACCCGATTGTTCACTTGGTCGATTCGGGTTTCAGCTTCCGACAGGCGGTTGTCATGTTGAGCAACCCTATCCTTCACCTCCTTTATCTCTTTCCCGAAGGTAGCATGAAGGTCCTTCCTGAGGAGCATCTGTTCTTCCATACCGCGCTGCAGCTGCTCTTCCAACCGACGGGTCTGTTCCTCCTATCGGCGGGCCTGTTCCTGCAGCATCATCATCAGAGCACCTAAGTCAGGTGCTGCAGATGCAGGAGCTGCTGACGGGCCAGCCTCCGTGGTTAGCAGCTGCCCCTCCGACGTTTGCGGCGTTGCATTACGAAATCGTCTCTGGTCCGTCTCCTGTTGGCGTTGACTTCGGGTACGGATACCCTCCGTGTCGTCTTTAGGTAAAATCGGCATATTTGATCCCACTTCTGACACCAATTGTTACGAGCTTGGGGTTCGAGACAATTAAAAATTGCCGATTGAATTACCAAAATTGACACTTTAATTTCACAACCCTAATTACAATCTAAAATCACACTAATAACAAAACACAGTTCGCCGTTATTTCGCTTCGAAGTATTCTCTTGTATCGCCAATTCAATACTGCCCTGGTCGTGGTCTATACCGGCCTTATATAGGGCCTCAGATAGTTTCCAGAACCTTCTACTGTAGCGACATCAAGAATGTTCGAGTACATATCGGTCCCGAAATGTCTGGAAGGATCTCGACTCTCCTAGTTGTGCTACTCGACACTAGAGGGCGCTAGTGTAACTAGTGTTGCCATGTACAAGATATTAATAGTGGCGCGCAATACTCTCATTTACTCGACACTAGGGGGCGCTAGTGTAACTAGTGTTGCCATGTACAAGACATTAATAGTGGCGCGCAACACTATAATATAAATACTCGCGCCTGTCACTCAGAGGGGTAGGCAGAGACTACGGACTCCCATTTGGCACGACCCTGACACACCTTTCTCGCTTCCTCCACATCCATATACCTACATATACACGCTCGTCGGTTAAAGGTACTCTCGATTTGGCCCATTTTCAATATATCGCCAATTTGGTCGATAAACTTTAAAAACAGTTGCAAACAGAAAACTATTACTACAAACGTACAAAACGCTATGCCAGAGCGTTATCAGCTATTGCATATGTTCCTGGGGATGTGCTGCTAAAACACATCTTATAGAATTAGAGCGAGCCTAAAAGTAATACTTTCCCTTGCCTACAGATATTCGACAGAAATGGTATATAAGTTAACTGAAGTACTAAGTGTTCGAAAATTATTCATATATCAATGTCTTAGACGTTTTCATAGATGTAGTGTTCCGCAATTACAAAATTTAAAAAGAACTGTTCGTATAAGTATCCCCAAGGTAAAATCCATATTCGGCAAAAGGAATTATTGTTACCTAGCTCCCAAGTTATATAATATATTAAATAAAACAGTGTGTACTAGAAAGGCTTCAAATCATTCATTCAAAAGTATGTTGTATAATTGGCTTAAAGAATATGACTACGATCAATGCGAAAACTTAATAGCTCCATACGAATAACTTTATGTGCAGTGCAACAATCACACTACTCACTCACTAACTCCACACACACACACACACACACACACACACACACACACACACACACACACACACACACACACACACACACACACACACACACACACACACACACATAGTGTTAAACTGAGTATTAAGTAATATATCAACATTTCCTAATGTATTATCGACATAAAGTGTTACTGAATAGGAAGGAACTGACTCTTGAAATACAGGGTATCCTAGTTTAGGAGTCAGGGCTCAATGATGTTGTATGAAATAGAAGTGTCAAATAAAGATATTTATTATTATTATTATTATTAAACTTTCGCCCTAGGGCGTCCCTTCCCGGCTCTGCCGTTCACCTCTGCAACATAAATTTGCTTTGTCACTCTTCCCTCATTTATTCTTTCTACATGACCAAACCACCGAAGCATTCCTTTCTTAATCCTGATCACAACATCATCTTGCAAACCACACTCTTCTCTTATAACACAATTTCTCACTCTGTCATTCATCATATAAGTGTTCATTTATTTAAGTGTAAACAAAGTTAAAAAGTTATAACGTACACAATATAAATGAATATTGACATAGTAGTGGGAAGATGAATATTTTTGCTTGTATACCAAATACCTTTTTTACTGTATATTACTGGGATAGAGATCCCTGATGCCATATTATAATCCCATATTATAGTATTTTTAATATAAAATAATAATGATTAGTTGAGTAAAAATTAAATAAACTGTTTTAAAAATCAATACTTATTTATTATTAATTGATATGTAAGAACGTTCTGCACATAATTGATCACAAATGGTAAACAAGCATTTCCGGTCCTGCTGGATATCATATTTAATCATTGAGCTATTATGTACCGTAGACATTATAACTCTATGTATTTAATTTATTTATTCAGATTTTAAATGAAAAATAACATTATATTTCGCAGGTACATTAATTTTGTTCATTTAAAATTCGAAAATCTGGCATGATCATGAAATGGTGGATGAAATATGATATCCAGGATTTATAAACTGTTATTATTATTATTATTATATATTAATTTCTGAACAAAATTAATTTATTAAAATAATTTCTATACAACACTGTCACTGCTTTTTGACAGTTTGACAGCAGATCTACCACAACACTTGGCGCTTATAACATGGCGATGCAGTCGCGCTCGCGCATGGATGAGTCACACGAAAGTGTTACCAAAATAAGCACTTGACAAACTGTAGTTGTTTCTATTGCAGCTACTGCGTTGTTAAAAAGAAACAGAACTGTTTTTGACAAGTGTGTGTCGATATTATAGGTATTAGTATAACTGTTATTTCTATAGTGTAATATGCCGTCTCCATAGGTATATTTATATCTCTATGGGCCGACCCATACCACTTTAGCTTACTAATCCCTTGGGCTCTGTCGGTTACTTTGGTTCTACTGCAGATATCCTCATTTCTAACTTTAACACACAGAAAAACCCCGAGTATTGCCCTCTCCATACCTAGCTGAGCGACCTTAAGCTTCGTTATACGGCGAGACGTGAAGGATCATGTCTCAGATTCATAAGTCATCAATAGCAACACGCACTGATTGTACATATTTGTACCCCGGGTAGGAGAGATACGAAGTATCCGCTGGAGAGAACACCTGTGTATCGGTTAGAAAGAGCAAAGCCGGTTTCGCCGTCTCCAGATGGTGATGGACGGCGTTAAGGCTCGAATGAAATCCCTAGACGTTGCAGAATTTCACGGGGAGCGTGACAGGGATCGTATTTGTCTTATTGCTCTGAACACCCACACTCAAGAAGAGTAGAGTAGCTTGGGCGTAGATGTTCACCTTGGGATTCTCCGTTATTATGTTGAGGGGAGTGGGAAGAATTGGGTCTGCGGCTATCTGCACTTGCCAGATGTAATGCAGAAGGAAATTTCTACTTCACGCTGGTATTCTGTGAGGTCGTGGTTTCACCCCAATTTGAGCCGGCCCATCCGTGCGACAGCAAAGCCTGCAGCATGGCTCTACCACTGTTATACTTTGAAGTATGTCACACGAGCCTTAATATTTTCTGTTAAAATGTAAATTTGTAATTATTATAAATAAAATACGCGAGCCAGAATTGCTAAGTATATATATCTGCACTTGAAAGTAATATAAATACATTTATGAAATCCAAAAAAAACCTGTGAACATATCTTTTGAACGTAGTGATTTATATAAAACGTAAATGATAGTTTATAAACGGAGGAGTATATTGATTTATATACGCATTGTTAATTGTTATTTTCTCATTGTCATTTTTCATTTTTCATCTATTACATTTTAACCAAGGAGCAATTAAATTTTTATCTATGTCTATTTTCGTTCTTACGTCAAAGAAGTGTCTTGCATTAAATAATTGTAGTTTAAAATATTTTTGGTATATTGTTCGTTTATGGAAGGTAAAACATTTGTTTAATTTCCATTGAATATTTTCCCATCTGTATCAAGATTACAACATCAATTTACTTAATTGTTTTTTATAGTATCAGCCTTGTTTAGAAGTATGACGCCATTTTGTCGCGCCGGCTGATCTGTAATTTTATTTTGAATTTCTTATATATATTCCATTACAATTATCAAGTATATTAAGTGTTGAACGTATTTTAATCATATTTCCTAATTCATGTCTATCAGGATTAATGTGCTAGTATTTTTTGCTCAGCGTAAGTTGCAACAGACGTATTGATTATGTATTTTCATTTTGCAATATTGTATACTAAATTTTATTGATTTTTATTGTTATTTGGCAACTATGTTGAACTCAAAGTTAATTATATTTGAATGTTCACCAATAACACCATCACTTTTTAACTACGCAGTCGAAGTACGTACAGAAAGGCCGATTTTAGGTAGATTTTTATATTACTTAAAATCTTTTGTTTTGAAGTCATTTTCAAAATGCTGTGTTTACGAGTTAGCTGAAGTTAAAATGAATTTAATAAAATGGAACATTGATTTGTGTATCTAATTATGTAAATCATTGATGCATAAAATTCTTTTTACAAGGGGCAATGGTTGGAGAAATGAAAAAATAATGACAATATCAATGAAAGAACAAGAACTAATGCCCGGGGAGGTATGTATTTATTAAAGTCCTACTTGATTCTAAATGTGAGTCTTACTTATTTTTACTAAAATATTTTAGATGTCATTCCCCGAGGCTAAACTAAAAGCATTAGAGGAGAAAATTTCACATCCACGATGGGTTGTACCAGTATTGCCTGAACAAGAACTGGAAGCACTTCTTTTAGCTGCAACTGAGCTAGCTGCTTGTGGTATGTAATATTGTTAATTTTATTTACACTAAGTTTTTTAAATTTTTTTGTAATTATTATGTTTAAGCTACGAATAACAATTTGTGTTTGGAAATTCTAAGTAATTTATTCATTAATGGTTGACTTATTTAATTGAATTAATGAATTAACAAAAGCTTGTAAATGAAGTTTCATTATAATTATTTAAGCGTACTGTCAGAATATATTAGTATAGTCTGTGTGGAAGTGCTAGTCACCGCCTGAGGTATGCAGGCGGTGTGAAAGGGGAGGATGTGATTGGCAAGACACACGAGATATTTGAGGACAGATAAATCTCCAGATAACCATTTTCAAAACTGTCTTAATTAATGTAATGAGTATTACATTAATTAAGACAGATATTATTTATTACATTATTATAAAATATTTTTCTATTTTTGGGTTAAACAAGAATAAATACATATTTAAAAACAAAACATTTATAAACAAATTTCTCAATAAGTAAATTAAAATATTATTTTCACTATAACCCTTACAGTACAAAATCAATCCATATCTTCTTCTTCATTACAACTGTATTCATTGTAAATAATATTTTTCACGTCGTGGTATTGGCAGACCTATCTTAGGATATTTATGTCATGTGTGTTTGGAACAAACTGGTGCTATTCGTGCCAGTTTACTGACTGAATCGTGTAACCATTGTGGTGGTCGAGGGCAGACTGAGTTAGTTTCATGTTTGTCTACCTCCCCTGTCCTACCGCTGACATACCTCAGGAGGTGAATAGCACTTGCACACACACTATAAATGAAAATATACTGTACTATAAATTGTACTTAATATCATCATTGAATCGACAAATTTGTTGTAATTAGGAAATATAGGTTCAGTTATCCAAAATAAATTAGACAATTGCGATATTTAATCAAAGAGTGTTCATCATAATATGCTTATGGAGCTGAACCAAGTCTTTCAACTCTCAAAACCAAATTCAATAAAATGAATCTAAAGTTCTCTTACAGTGGGATCATTTCGTCACAATAATTCTAAAATTACAAAAATAATTTTATCTATCTGTGATTAGGTTTTTAGTATTTTAATCTAAATAAGAAAATTTTGATATTAATACTTAATTTCTTAAATAGATTGAAGATGAATTTAAATTACTTAATTACCAAAGAATTTAAATACTGGTTATTATCATTTGTATAAATTTATTAAGATAATATTTGCACTTTCCAATTGATCGAAGCAATCATTAGCTTAGTGCATTGACATCCAGACCCTGCAAATTATAGTCTATGTTATGGAGTTCTTTATTAGAAAAAATTACAGATATGAGATATTGGTGTTGCATGGGTGCTTCTGCAATTGGTCCATAGTCTTTAGGTGTTGGTTGTGATTGAGATAGAATAAAAAGAAATCTGGGTCAAGAAGGGGATCAAGACTTTAATATGTACACACACACACAAATACTCACGCATGTCACCCAGAGGGGTAGGCAGAGACTACGGACTTCCATTTAGCACGATCCTGACACACCTCTCATATGTACTAATGCAAATACAGAAAATGAAAAAAAAAAAACAAATTGTTTACTAATTTGTATTTTACAATAAGTTGTATTTGTAAATAAATTGTAACATGGCCAAGGCATCCCGCTTGGTCTAGACTACTTCAATGGAACTGTATTGGTGGCCACTAATCAGCTGATGCTTCTCAAAGTATCTCATGACTTGTTAATAATGAATACCATTATTTTGGAGAATCCAAATGTACCAGAAAAGACACTTAAAAACCAGTGTTGTATATGAAGCATAAATTTTCAGCACATTTGGGCCTTATTAACATCCAAGGAGAGTAGTGTTTTACATACTGAGCTCTGCAGAAAAATGTCCTGCTTGGACACAGGAGTGGGATAGTTGGCAGTGTGATTGCCTTGGGCAGCCTTGGCAGGAGACTAGAATCATTCTATCTAGTAGAATGTATGAGTTCCTGAAGAAGGGCCAACTAGTTTCTTGCCAATTCCGCCAATGTGGTCTGGCGTTGCCTTAACAATACAGCTTTTGAAGTACCTTAGTTATACTTCTTTTTTAGTGCCCTCGTAATTCTTGGGATGCAAATGCATCGGCCTAGGCCTGGTAACATTCTTGCTTTTGTTGTGATTCAATTTTACAGGAGTCACTAAACCAATTCAGGAATCTAACACCAATAAGCACTGCAGATGATAGGATAAAAAGTTCCGCCCCCAAAGCATCACATTTGATTGGCTTAGTAAACATAGAACTTCTTAGTTTGCTTTAAATATAGTTTATGATGGGCTTCAGAAGTTCAGCAGTTCTTTGATGTTGCCAGCAACCTTGGGGTTGACCTCGGCGTCCCGAAATGTTTAGCCCTGTATGCGGCGGCCTCTTGGCACACCAACAACACGTAGGCCGCCATAATAAGACTGTGTGTGTTTCTTATAAATAAAATTGTGTAACTATATGTTTTGTAGAAATAAAGATATGGGGTAAGATACAAGGATGCAAAGGCGAAAATCAATTTTAAGATATGTCGAAATGGCGCGCGGTGCGCGGTTTTCTTTCGCGTATAGCTCCTTGCAAAAGTACACAAAGACAATGTAGGAAATTTGTTTGAGGATCTCCTAAGTGTGCGTTGTTTGTGGATTAGCAGTGGTCCCAAGCAACCGCCGGTACGACATACTCCGCTAATCGTCGAATCGCATACACCGAGAGGCGTCGAGGTCACCGGCCCTTAAGTAGATTCTTGGCACTCAAGAGCGCTCCGTGCCTTTAGTGTCAAGTCGCGTTCTTAGAGTGCCACCAAAGCACTTCCCCCAACCCTTCCGTAACGAAAGGGGTAGGCAGTGCCCCATGTGTTGCGGCCACCCATCATCGCTTCCACCCCCACCCCCCTTTTCCCTACCGCATAGACAGGACACGTATAGGATAGGACCTAAAAACAGTGCAACAAACACCTATAATTACCATGACGGGTAAGGGGAAGGGGGAGCCCCCTCACCCCCTCGCGATAGGTAACCCCTGGATCGTCCGGGTATATTGGATAGGCCACTAGTGGTTAAGGACCTTTCGAACCCCGAACGCTCGAGGGTCGTAGGTTCCTTCAGCCAAATCCCCACAAGCCTGCGTCGCCGCTAAAGGAACCCGAAGCGAGCACCGCACTCACGCCTACCGCCTCTGAGTACACGAGTACACGGGCACCGGTGCCCCAATCATAGCGGGCGATGAAGACGGCGAGGAGGCACACCCCACCGAAAACCGACGCATCACTCTTCGAGAAGAGGCAATGCGTCGTTTCACCTACAGCATCATTGCCACCATCATCATCATCATATATACAAAATTAACGAGCTCCTCTACGTGAGAGAGGTCGTAATAGAAGCCTGGCAAGGACGAGTGGGCCCAGCACAATGCCAGCGCTGCCAGGCTTTCGGTCATGCCTCATATAACTGCTTTCGACCAATCAAATCGTTCGTTGCGCAGGGGAATACGTCGCTAGCGATTTCCCGAGGGGTAGGGCCGAAATGCGCCAACTGCGCTAAGAACCATACGACTAACGATCGCTGATGTCCGCTCTTGAGGAGGATCGCACGGAGACTGGGCATCACACTTCCGGGGGCTTACTTCCGGAAGCCACGAAGCGGATCCCAGAGAGTCGCCCGAGGACCGTAAAGATCCAAGATGACGGGTGGGCAACCATAAGAGGGAAGGGGAGGCAAGCAGCCCCTCCCCCCCCACAACTACAACCAATGGAAACGGTGGAACCCGCACAAATCAGGGCATCCACCGGGGCGACTCTCCAGCCACCCGCCAACGACGCTACAGAGCGTCAGGATCTTAAGAAGAGGAAGTGGGCGATATGGAACGAGAGTAAAGCACAGCATCCTCCTCAAACCATTACATCTATCCCAACCCCAGTGGTTACGATAGCCTCAAAGGCGCATGTTACCACTACGGAGGCGAAAACCATTGTGGGTTTCCACCCGCAAACCACAATGGTTTTCGCTACTAAGACGATACAGGCCCTACACGCGGCTTCCACGATCGTCCCAACCACAGAAAGGAGAGAAGAGCTGCCGTGAGAGATATGCGTGCAGTTCAAACAGAAAAGAACACTACGAAAGCTCTGGGCGCGCACTCGCTGCCCCAGACTAAAGACGAAGTTGAACACCTTATCGGATGAATTGTCGGTTGCAGTCCGGGCTCACAGATGAGAGGCCTGGGAGCGGCGTATATCGAAAGCGGATGAGCAAGATGCGTCGCTCTACAAACTGAACCGACAGTTAACAAAAACCAGACCTCCCGTTTGCCCCCTGACCAACAACGCGGGCGAACGTTGTTACGAGGCCAAAGGTCTACCTTTACCGGATATCCTAACAGAGCACTTCGAGGAGCAGTGAGGTCCTTCAAAAGTGTCATTGCCAAGGCAAAGTCAGCACATCGGCAGAATTGGCAAGAAACTTGTTCGCCTCCCTTCGGGAACACGTGCATTCTGGTCTCTCGCCAAGGCTGTCCAAGGGAACTTCTGTCAGCCATCTCTACCATTTCTGCACAGGGTGGACGACTCACTGGCCCATGACGGAAAGGAGAAAGCCGATCTGCTAGGCTCTCTTTTTGCTTCCAACTCGACTCTAGATGACGGGGGGAACAGACCGCCGACTATCCCGCGGTGTGAGTGCTCCATGCGGGAAGTGTTGTTTATACAGCGCTTGGTGCGTAAATCACTCCTCTCCCTGGACGTCAACAAGTTGAGTGGGCCTGATGGAGTAGTCCCGCCTATTGTGCTGAAGACTTGTGCTCCGGAATTGGCACCGGTTCTAACGCGTCTTTTCCGGTACTCTTACTCCCTAGGCGTAGTCCCGAACTCATGGAAGACAGCTTTGGTGCACCCGATCCCTAAAAAAGGCGACCGCTCAGATCCTGCCAACTACAGGCCTATCGCTATCACCTCCTTGTTCTCCAAAGTAATGGAAACGATTATTAACAGCCTGCTCTTG